ATAAGCTGGAGCGGCGACTTGATCGACGCAAGCGCAGTCGTGCAGCCGGGCTCAATCGGCGCCGCGAACCACTTGGTGACGTCGGCCGTCTGGGCTTCCGTGCACGCGGCGGCGGGGGCGGCCGTGTGGTTGCCACCGTGGGCAGCGGCGACGGCGGCGAAGGCGAGGACGGCAGTGGTGCGCATGGTAGTGGGCTCGAAGTGGCAAATTGAAAAGTGAATTGGGGTGTTGAGCGCTACTTCTCCACGGCGCTACCAACACCAGGTGGCGCGATTGTTGATAGCGCAGACAGACGGTCTGCGACAAGACATCGTTCGAAGCAATCCCTGTGGATGGGATTCGTGCACACTTGGCGTTTGTATTCACGGCTTGTGTCGGGGCTCGGAATAAACCAAGTTGATAGAGGGTTCATGTGCCCTTGCTTGGATTGACAAGCAACCGCTGCGTGTACGTACGCCGTACCTACATGTACATGACTTACGACTGGAGATGCTTGTACGGTGCGTTCATTGCCGATTGAATTAACTCATTTACTTTTGACTTTGACTTTTGAGTTTCACTCTCTGCAATTTGATTGGCTGCTGAAACTAGTACGTTTTTGGCTTCGTCTTGACGAGCCAACCATCAAGACGATACAGTATATAATGGTTTCGTGTGGCTTCGTCGAGAAGGTCTGTGCATGGTGAACGTAGAGCTTCTGAAACAGCAGACAGAAGTGATCTGGCTTTGCTGCGATGTGCACTGAGGCCTGTCCGATGCATTGCCGTACCGGGTACTATGTAGTACCGGTATTAGTAGGTGCGTATTACACGTACGTACGGGCCGCCGTGGTCACACCACGGATGCCTGTCTAGGGAGAAACACTATGGCGTCTTTTTATGGGCAGTGTGACCCGTTGACAATACTACACCAGTACACGACACTAGTACTATAGTACATGTAAAAGCTCGCACACTGAACGAAACGTGTTTCGACAAGAACGCGTTATTATCTATAGGTTTAACGTCTTACACGCAAGCGGCGAGCGCCGTCACGACCGCAGCAGCCATCGAGAGCTGAACCAAAGCGCCGGCCGACTTGGCGGGCGTCGGCGTAGGCGTCGGCGTGCCAATCGTGCTGTTGCCAGTCTTGGGCTGCGGCGACGAGGTTTTGTTGCCCGTCTTGGGCACGAGCTCGTCGCACTTGTCGTGGACGACGTCCAGGGCGGCG